CTTCAGCCCACTGGTGGTAGGTGAACACTGGAAGACAGCCACCGGGTAAAGGGAGAAATGAGTGAGGTCACTGAGCATGATGGAGATGAAGACAACAAGACACTGGGTGCACACATCAACTCTCAGAGACACTTGCTTTCCTCAGTATACCTTCAGCAATGAACCTTTATATTAAAGGTTTCTTAGAGACTAAAGAAAAATACTTTTCTAAAAACTGCAAAAAAAAGGGTGGATCTGAGAGAGATGTGGCTGTCTGAATGGAGGAAAATATGTAAGGATAGAGTGAAGATATGAGGCAAAAAAACGGAGGAAATGAGAATCAGTCCATGCTAAGACATAGAGGAGATTTTTTGCAAAATTGTGCTTTCCACAGCATGCACTTCTCTAATCTTTATACTTCATTCAGTAAGAAAAAGACTGCAGTTTGCTGAGGGCCACTGGAATCCCTCCGAGGGTAAAACCCAAACACGCTTACTGCACAAGTCTCTCTGCACCCTGCAAGCGATCAATGTCCAGCGCCGCCACTCGTGCCCTTCTCCAGGCCGTGCCGCTCGGCGGCTCCATCAGGATCGGGGGCTGGGGAGGGAAGCGGCGGGAGGGCAGAGCCGCCGGCAGCAGGGGCAGACCCCAGGGACAGCGGCCGCGACCCCGCTCACCTCCAGAGCCGCCGGCTCCGCCCCACCAAGGCCCGGGGAAGCACCAGGGACACTCGGACAGAGCGGCCCGGCGGAGCCCCTGGAGCCGGGTACCACCCCGGGAACCTCTCCAAAGTCGGGCATCACCCCGGTCATCCCTCGCCGGAGCCGAGCATCACCCTGGGTACCCCCCGACCCTGCTGCAGCCCCGCGGCAACGCCCTCGCTGTCCGGGACCGCCGGCCCCTCCCGCCGCTCACCAGCTGCTTCAGGTCCTCCTCAGAGAGCCCGGCGTAGCGGTACCGCTGCTGCTCGAACTCGTACCGCGTCGTCTTCGCCACCACCGCCACCCGCGACGGCCGGAACCCGCCGCCCGCCGCCCCCGACCCGCACGGCGCGGCCCCCGCCGCCCCCCGCCCGGCCGCCGCCGCCACTGCGGAGGGGCTCAGCCCGCCGAGCGAGAGTAGGCGCCGGTGGGCGCCGCCGAGCAGCGGCAGCCACAGCGGAGCGGATGAAGCCGCCGTCCGCGGGCAGAGCAGCGGGGAGCGGCGAGCTGCCGCCCGGCCGGCGACGCGGAGGCGGCCGCAGGGGAAGCCCCAAGAAGAGAACATCTCCCGGGCTCTGCGCCGCTCCCCGGGGCGGGCGCGGCGCTGCCGGCGGCGGCTGCGGCCGCTCTGCGGCGGCGCCCGGCACACATGGCCCGGCCGCGCCCGCCGCCCCGCCTTCCCCGCGCGCAGCCGCCCGCCCCGCCAATAGCGAGCTGCGCCGCCGGGTACCCGCCCCTCATGGGAGCGGGGCCTGAGCGCTATCCCCGGCGCTTGCGCCCTCCTCGGCCAACCGGGGCGCAGCGCGCCGTGCCCGCGTGCCCCGCCCCGCGCCCCGGGGAGCGCCGCCTGCGCAAGCGTAGAGGAGACATATCTCTCTCTCTCTTCCCCTCCCCCCCGCGCCCGCCCCTGCTTGGCCCCGCCCCGGCTCCTGGTGGCGCGCGGGACGGGGCGCGAGGCACGTAGGCTGCGCGCGGTGGATGTCCCCGCGCCCGGCCCCCCGGGCGCTGTGAGGAGTGCGGGGCCGACCTCCGCCGTGAGGGGACAGTGACAGCGTCCCCAGCGCTTCCCGCTGCTCCCCTGTGTCCCTGGGCTCAGCAGCAGCACCCCCGGTACTTCCCGTGCCCCGAGTGTTTTCCCAGTACCCGCGCGTCCAGTGCTCCCCTGTGTCCCAGAGGACAGCGACAATGCCATCAGTCTCCCGCTAGTGCTCCTAGTGTTCCGGGAGGCAGCGATAGTGTTAAAAGAGATAAAGAGGGAGAAATGATTTGGTGTTAGATCGCGTGTGCGGAAATCTCACGTGTTGCTACTCCTGTCCTCGGCCTTTGTGATAGCTTTACAGCACGGCAGAAAGGCAAATACGAACTGATACTAGTGCATTAACTTGGGGGAACAGACAGGAATTCTGAGACCAAGCAGTATTCTGAGACTAAGCAGTGTTCCTCAACAGTGTTCCCCACACCCCACGGGACAGCGACCGTGCTCTCATTACTGGTGACACTTCACCCCGTTGGAGCAGCGGGTGCGGGCCGGCACCATGCAGGCGGTGGAAGGAAGTCAGGTGGGATCGCCCCGGTGGGCGCCGGCCTGCTTCCCTGGGAAACTGAGGAGGGACGGGAAAAAACTTCCGGAAAATAATTCAGAGAGGTGGGAAAACACAGCACGTGCTGTGTTTTAGAAGGGCTAAATACTGCATCTGGTCGCGCAGAGCTGATGAGATACATGTAGCTTAAAAGCTCTTTTTGTTATCCGTGCCTGTTTTGGTCTTCGTGACATATGCCAGTGTCAGGAAGGACAGAAGGGACCTGGCCGCAGCGTTGCGAGACAGCGTCTGGCAAGTCCAGGTTAAAAAAAAAAAAAATTATCGATCCTGAGTTACTTTTTAATATTGTAAGCAAGCTGTCCAGAAATTCTGTGGGGGTTTGCATGATTATCAATAACTGCATGTGCAGGCATCGACTGCCACAGACGGTCCTTCTGCACTGAAGGCTTCACTTGGACATTTCTCATTACTCACCTTGTTTCTCATCTTCCCTGGGGGAAGGGATCGAAGCAGCAACTCCTGCCTGTCAATGCAGCACTCCTCTACAGTGCTTTGCCAGGAGTCTTAGGAAATAAGCATAGTTGCAGCCATTCTGCTCTTCCCACAAAACAAAGGTTCTCTCCAGTCTTTGCTGGTGGGTAGGAGGATTTTTTTTTTGTCTACTGATTAGCTTAGCCTTGAAGGAAAATATCACAAAACAGATTACCAGGAAACCAATTAAACATAACTAATTCCCTTGCTGACCAGAAAATGCCTCATTCTGTATAACCATTAACTTAAAGGTTGTACAAAGCAATAGGTAATACAACATCCTTGAGACCTAAGAGATATAAGAGGTTTCGAAAATTTATGACTGTGTTTTGAATGGTATCTATTTTATAACTTAATTGACCATTTAGCTGCTCCTCTAAGATTTTTGTGCTTTGTGTATTGCCTATTTATATTGAATTGTTTTGATTTTTGAAAATCAAAAGTTTGAATATGGAACAGTATTTTATTCTGAAATCATGCAATTATCATGTTATGGTCTTTTGAATTAATTCCCACAGCAAGCTTATAATCGTAAAATATGAAATACGTATTTTAAAATGTAAATTCAAATCAGTAGATGATTAAAGATCTGGAAACAATGCTGAAGCATGGGCTATGAAGTGATTAATCTATAGTTCTCAGAAGGAAGTCTCTGACAGGCTAGCTCTTTGTCAGAGTATGCAGATTGTCTGATACCCCATTGTCTTTGTGGAAAAGGATTTAAACTTTCTATATCATATGAAATACAGTTTGTTGAATATTACTTACAGTTTGCATCTTACTTTATAAATGGACCTACTTACAAAATGTTCATTAGACACTAACCCCTCCCTCACTACAATTCTTGATTTGAGCATACACCTGATATAAAGCAAGAAGACACACAATACTGTCAAATGACCCTTTACCTATTTTGAGATATGTTCAGTTTGTGACATATCACATGTCTCTTCATGCTTCATTTGCAATGACTTTAAAACAATATACCCAGTAGATTAGGGGACAGATTAATTCAAAGTTAAACAAATAAATATAGGAATTTAAATGTGGTATCCTTGTAGGACACAAATGTGGACTAGGAGTAAATTTCTACTGTAACAACTTTCTGAACCCCTTGCTGACCAAAACTAACTTTGCTTTGGGCATAGAGTGTTTAAAAATTCTTCATGGAAACAGATACCTCAATATTGCCTGAAGTTAAAAAATGCTTCAGAAAAATGCCCATTTTAGACACCAAGGAGTTGTAATACATGATGTAAATTTCAAGACACAAATCCATAAAAAACTAGACAGCTCTATATACTTCAAGTTATACTGTGAACTTTAAAAAATACCTATGTAATACACAAAATATTCTGTGTAACAAAGTAACTGGAAAAATTTCCACATAAACAATGAATTATTCCCTAAGCTATTTCACTAGCTGTAAAACTGGCAATGCACAACTGTGCCAGCCATTTTATATAAGATAATCTCCATATATAGCTTATTTCCTCCCAAAAGAATGTATATGTTGGTTGTAGTGCAATTACAATCTGGGACAACTATTCATTTCTACTCTTTCTTGAAGTCTTTGAATAATGCCTTCTTGTGATAGTTTAATTAATAACTAGTATATCATTAACTTACCCAATTATTTGCATTGTCTCGACTTACTCTCTGTGACCCTCAGTGCTACTGGTAACAGAAATTGCTTGTGGTTTGTTTATGTTTAAAATGGTGATGCTGTCAGTGTGAGGTGCATGCACAGGGACGAGGCAAACACACCATCACTGTAACATTTCATAAATCCAAGTCCTCGGATTTTGAGAGCAGCTGACCGCAGCTGTTAATTCTGGTAATCCAGAGGAAAACTCCAGACTGACACTTAGAGAGCGTCACTCAGGCAGCACATCAGGGTCCTACCAGGCACATCAAAGAAGGTGTTAGCAAGTGAAGTCTGATGGAATTTCTGATCCCAGATCCTCTCCGTGTGCTTGCACTTTGCTTGCAACATGTGTACCCTCATCACTGATTGCATAGTTGAGTCATGTAATTTAGTCATGTAATTTGCTTCAGAAATTCCAAATTACAAAATCAAGGAAGAAGCTTAAGGAAAAGCATAGTAAGTGTAGCTATTCTTATAAATGCAAATTACTGATTTTTTTTACACAAAAAAAAAAAAAAAGAGGAGCAAGCTTTCTTGTCCACACTTCCATTAGAACACATTTTAATTATCAGAGATTTATTTTTCTCCTTTTCTTCCCACTCTTTACTTATGCAAAGCAAACTACACCATCCCTCAAGAGGTCTAATACAATTGACTTCAACATTTCAGAAGCAATTTGAATATGCTCAAACAGCTGTAGACACTTTATTTTGTATGAATAATTTTAGTGTTTGAGAAACACAAACTGTTCTGATTTGAAGTCCACTTTTTAGACAGGTAACTGCTGTAGAATGGGCTGTGCATGCTTTTTCTAAGTTTTCCTGCCAGCATAGCCCCGTGGTAAGGCCTCTGAAACCCATCTAAGGGAAATGAAGATGCTCTTTCCCTCTCTGTCCATGTCATACTGGCTGTCACTAGCAGTGAAAGCAGATGTGCTAGAAGTTTTTCCTGTATTTATTTATTCAATAGAGATATTATCTAACTCTTAACTTCATACACTCTGCCAAAACTATTTCAGAGGTCACTAAAAAGCATGACATAAAAACCTGAGGGACAGGACAAGATTTATGAAGAGATACAAATGCCTCCAGAATGTAAAGTAGGACATTCAGTTTGTCCCATCCAAGTGGATTCTGCTAGAACTTCCTAATCTTAGTAGAATATATTATTATGAACTGTTAGTTTTCCCTCCTTGGGAAAATTACTACTGTATGAATATATAAGATCTTCCACCACTACATCCCTTATGTATATCAATTAGTCACTGGGGTTTCTCATAAATAGATTTTTTATCTGGGAAAAAAATCATGTCTAGTTTCACATGGGCTCATACGGGTTTCATACTGAGTCACCTCTCTTCAGGCCACAAGGACCCATGCTTCCATGCTCTGCTTCTCCTCCCTCCCAGAAAGTGCTGCAGCTTGTACAGAAGCAGAAAAACACCACTTAGGCCCACCAGCACCACAGAAAATACCAATCTTACCCTGAAAACTTTTCCTCAAAGGGTGCTTTTCTCTGATTTCTGTCATTCAGCAACTGCTAATCTTCATGAAGAATTTAAATTGTCTTAGAGCATTCTAACTCCTGTGCAATCCTTTGAAACTGAACAGTGGACTCAGTGTGGGTCTGACAGATAGGTGGATGGCATGCACAACCACTTACATATTCTTTCCTTAGGAAAGCAGGCTTGAGATTCTGCAGCATGGTACTCTTAATTAATGGAAGCTCTAACTGGGATGCAAAATAAGACTCCTAGTTACAAAGAAATTTAAGTCGTAAGGAAATTGTTTATTGTTGAGGTGCAGAAATTGCTCTCCAGGTGTCATAAAATGACAAACTACATTTTAAAAGCAATTTAATACATTACATAATGGTGTACCTTCAGGCTTGAGGAACAGTGAACTTTAGTGCCATGAAACTAAACAGAACACATAATTAGGTTTTAAAGAGCAAAAATTTTGTCCTCTATTACCAAAGTATCCAATGTCTTTAAAATAAACATCTCTTCTCCTCCTTAGCTTTTGGGAGATGAAGCTTCATGTTTGTGTGTGTGCACATGAGTGTATGTGTTTATATGTATACTTGTGTATACATTAAGGATCTTGGGAAGAGGCAGATCAAAATAGCTTTTATTTATAAACCTTCTTCTGTATGCTTTGGGAGCAAATTACAAAGTTTAAGTCCTGTGTCTGAAAAAGTTCTGTTGTCCCTGCCCTGGAAACCTCCCTCATTTACCAAGGATTTTACAGCTGTAGTAGAATTTAGAGGGGTATTGTGTCACTGAGGTGCTTAAATCCTGTTCCACAGACAGCTTTGATTATCAGGACAGACTTTGAAATCAAACTCTGCATTCAGCGCATAGCCAGCTGAACTCCAGGGCAAACATATTACCATGACCTGTTGCTAAATACATAGGGCTGCTGTGTTTTACAACTGCCTGAGTTTTTATAACATGGAGCTTTGTCCCTGAGGATGAGTTGCAGCAATGAAATATGAAGGTCAGTGATGTAAATATTGTTGTGGTCAGGAGTGAGGCTGATAACAAAGGACACAATGTACAGCTCATTATGGAAACAATATTTTTGTTATTGGCAGACTGGAATCAAAGAGAATCCCCATGCTTCACTGTTTGACACAGGTGCTCTGCTGGGAAGCAGTTCCTTTTTCCTGAAGGCAGAAATCAAGTTCCACTTAAATTTACTGTCCAATCCAAATGCTAAATCAATGTCAGACAAGTGCTAATTTTGGTGGGCCATTACATTCAGTGTAATCTGTACAACTATTTCAGCTTCATCTGGATACTAATCTTGGCAGTGCACTGAGAATTCAGGAAGAAACTAGTATTGTTCCAACTTCATACCATGTTCAAATGAGAAAACTAAATTGTAACTTGACTTATCAGGTGTGTTGCAGCTTTGCAGCTTTTTAGATTGAGAAATCATTACAATTACCTTAATAAAAAGGACATGAGATATTTCAGAACATTGTTTCAGCTCTGAGGATGACAAACAATGTGCAGGACATCAGGGAAGTGGCAGTGGAGAGACTGCAGACAAATTCTGATTTTGACAGAATGAAAACATGGAACATAAGTAGTGCATCTTATTTTCCATGGGCTTATGGATGACCCTGCAAGTCTTGATTCACAGGTGAATTGGAGGTTTTTTCTCACAAAGATGTTTATGTAGAAGGCATTAATTTTTGGAATGACTTCTACAGAGCAACTGTGTCTTGGCCACTGTTGGAATTATTGTGCACATGAGAATGTGTAACATACTTATGAATGATACTGTTAGGAATAGCAACAGCTAAAGCAGAAATAATCTCAGATAATCTCACACATTTAATGTAGATATCCTGTTGTACTGTGCATGCATTTATTTGTGTATATCAAATGGACAATTAATGTACACAAGTGCAGGTGTTTGTTTTGTTCAGCTAGAAAGGTATTCATGAGCAAGCAGATACACTTTAAATTTTAAAGCTGATATAGCCTTTAGAACAGGCTTTTACTTCTTCATGGTGAATTCTTTTGGTGCATACAGCTGAAAGATGCAGATCATGGTTCTTTTCCCTTAAACAAAATTCTGCAGCAAGTATACCACTCCAGATATTTTCAAAATAAACATTAAATATAACCCCTTGTATAGGGGGTGTTTCTATAGGGGCTAGTTTCTATAGGCCTTGGTCATACTAAACTGCCACCCTAGGTTTTGCTTGCATGTACTTACAAACAGGATGCTGAATGTTACTACACAATTTTAAATAAATGTTTTCAGTGAAGCAAAATTTAAAACTTTCCAAATGTATCTTTTAAATAATAGATTAAAAGTAACAAATATCTGTTCACATATATTATTAGTTCATGCTTATGTGGTATTATCCATCAATATGATGAACAAGTACATATTCCCTATAAAATTCCTCACTCTAATAATGTATCTAAATATATTTAATTCTAAAATTGAAAGACTTTGTAACAGTTCTTGACTATTGGAAGCCATGGTGTTATTCACAGCTCAGTGCAAAGCAGGCTGCCTAGAATCCTCAACAGTGCATCTGAAGTTCTTTCTCAATGAATTAAACTTAAGCTGTCTCTAAAATTAATCTCTACTTAAAAGTAATAAAGTAATATGCATCTCATTTCCTCCCTCCAGGGGCTGATGAGTCAGCTTAGACATTTTGGGAAGATGAGTTCCCAGCTGAGCTGTTGTAACTTCTGGCAGATATCATGAGCAGACAACAGACTGCCTGCGGTTCCATCTCGAATGATCTGGAAAAGAATTTATTGAAAAAATCTTGCTTATTTGAGCATATTCATGTTTTGAAACAATCCAGCATTTCATAATACCAAAGCAGTAGGTTAAAGTTTTGATATGATCAGTTCCTGGTTTAGGTAAATAGGTAACTAGATAACAGAGGATAATTCACAAATATTTGAGCATGTGAATCATGAATGAAGCCTATGACCCTCCAAGTCAATAAAGACAAGCACAAAAAACACCAAGGAGTCTGATATCTAGGTAGGGCAATGTACCCAGGATGCAAATTATCTCACTCTGTGGAGGGCACTCTGCTTTAAGACTTCATTACAGATGCTCAGAAAACTGTGAGAAATCCAACATACCTTCAAACAGCTCATTGGTTATGAGAAAGTGGTTTTGGTGCGTAATCTCTGTGACTTTGACTCATCTGCAGAAAGTAGGTAGAACTGACTAATAATGTCAGACACATAATACCACTTCACAGTATCTGCTTAAAAATTGCTACTACCATCTGGCCACCCCTAAATACTTACCAAGAGTTTAAAATCTTTTACAAGTGAAATGAAAGCTTGTGTTTGTCAGAATATTAAAACTGATCTTCCCCCTTCTCTTTCCTGATATGGGAGCATTTATGGGATATGGGAGTGTCTTTTTTCTTTGCTTTAGATATTACTGGTGCCTGCTGAAAAGAATAGAGAAACTCCAACAAAGAAGTTAATTCTTAACTTTTCCTTTTTCCTCAGTTTTAATCACCATTAGGTATGTGTGTGTTAGCTTTATAGTTTGGAATCCTTAACAACTGAGAAGAATTTAAAGTAAATTGACAAGAAATGCCAAACAAAGCAGTTTTTAACGAGTTACTGTGGTGTTGCTGAAGAGCCAGTTCCTTAAAAAAGTGTAAAAGTACTTTACTGCAAAATAGAAAGAAAGCTCTTGCGACATTTTAAATCATGATAAACTGCAGCATAAGAGAGACTCCTCATGAAACTGAGATGGAAGTACATGTAGAGTGGACCAGAAAGGGTCCCTAAAACATTCTTCAGTTCTGCAAATGCATGTGCTTTTCTGCATTTCTATTATTAGGATGCTGTCTGGCTCCTGGACCAACACACTGCTGGTGTTTGGAGACTACGGGCTCTCAATACCAGTAGTCTCGAAAACCTTTGTGGATCCATTTGTGATACACTCTTATGTCTTTGCATGCTGTGATTTTTCTTGTAAGGCCTATGGCTGGGTTTGGAGAGACTTCTTGGGACTTACCCAGTCCTAGATTCCAGAATCTTTGAATTCATTCTAATAGCTTCTCAGATAAAATTACAGAGACGACACCTCAGTCAAAAGAGATGATTCCTCAATCAGGATGACGTTAGGACAAGATTTCAGATCAGTGAGGTGGAGTATAAGGAGTAATGCATAACACTTTTCTTTGCCTACTGACAGTACTGTCCTTGTACCTCCCTTGTACCTCTGAATTTGTTCAGCCAAGAAGTTTACTGTTTAGTCTAAATTCACTTCCTCAGCTCACTTTATAGGCAAAGGGAAAAGATAAATACTTTCCAAAGACTTATTGGCCCCATCCACTCTCAAAATCTATTTAAAGGTTAATTGTTCTTTTTCTCTCCACTGAGATTTACAGAGCATTTTGTTGGTAAAAATATTTAGGCTGTAACTGGTAAAATATGATCTGATAAAAATATCAGGCACAGCAAATTTCTCTTTATGGACTTTATGAAAAGTAAAGCAAATCAACTAGGAATTTTAAAAAATATTGGAATAAATGTCTGTACTGAACTCATGAAATCATACAAAAATCTCTACTACCTTATACATTGTCTGTATATGGCATTAACATACTGTAGATTAAGAATTTTCTGTAAGGAATGCCTACAACAGTCTTGCAAATATTCAGAATCACTTAAACATCCATAATTCACTTACTAAGTATATCATATTTGCTTTCTTCTTCAGTCTCAAGCACTAAAGACAATCATTATGAAGATACTATGAAGATAATAAAGATCTAATTTTTATGCCTTTTACAGTGTCATGAAATACATCATCTAGGCAACTGCATGAGTTCATTTTAACAAGAAGGAAATTGCTATATTAAGAAAAGAAAACCATGGGGGCGGGGGGGTGGTGAGAAAAACAAATAGAATGGAATGACATAAAATGCAGGCATATTTTGTAAATTCTCATATCTCTTGTAAAGAAACAGTTCCTGAGGACTTAGGCTTCTTAACATTTATATTTTCTTAAGGAGAGGTAATCTCCGAGACTGAGTTACATCAGTATGAAGATTACTTATTTACATACACCCTTCAATGAAAATGAAAGAATGAAAATAAAAATGTTAAAACTAATGCTCTTAAAAAAACCACGATCTGTTCTCTTGTATCTAAATGGACATTTGTATGCAGATATTTAAAACTGACCTCTTCCTGTCCAAAACCCATAAGGCCTATTATTCTTCCATTTTAGTAAAAGGGAGCTCCAGGGACAGTCACGAGTGAGATTGAATGTCTGAAGGTGGAGAGTGACTTGGATACCAGTAACTGAAATCTGTGCAAATTAAAACCCTGTGGCTCTGAGAAGAGACTAAAATAAGCAGAAGAGCTAGAAGCCATTTTAAAATAAGTGCTTGAAAAGGGATTGTTAAAACTGGTGTTACAAACTGGAATAAATGAGGCACAGATGCTTAGACTGAAAGGACAAAAAAAAACTCAACACCTCACACATTTCAGAATATCTTTGGTGGCTGCGATCTGAATATTTGTATCAGAAGTTTCTGCAAATCAAAATAAATATATAACTCATATATCTGTTTGGTATTGCCTTCTATCGGGAGGATAACCAAGATGGTGAAGGGCATTTAGGGAAGCTGCATGAGGTGCAGCTGAGGTCACTTGGCTTGTTGTTCCTGGAGAAGAAGAGACTGAGGGGACACCTCACAGGGGTCTTCAGCTTCCTCATGAGGGGAAGAGGAGGAGCAGAAACTGATCTTTTCTCTGTGGTGACCAGTGACAGCACCCAAGAGAATGGGCTGAAGTTGTTTCAGGGGAGATTTAGGCTGGATATTGGGAAAAGGTTCTTCCCCAGAGGGTGGTTGGGCGCTGGAACAGCTCCCCAGGGCAGTGCTCACAGCATTATCCAGCTCAAGAAGCATTTGGATAATGCTCTCAGACACATGGTGTGACTCTGGGGGTGTGCTGTGCAGGGCCAGGAGTTGGACTTAATGATCCTTAAGGGTCCATTCCAGTTCAGAATATTCTATGATTCAATGATAAAGGGGAATTGTTTTCCCTTAGGAGAACAGTACTTATAGCTGCTACTGTTCATTTCTTGATTCTTCATGAAGAGTTGTTGAAAGGAATGTTTATAATATAAGGAAGTATGTTACCTAGTTGCAGAGGGAAACAAATCCTGTGAGCAACAACTCACAGTTGCCTGATGTAGTCCATCTGTTGAAAAATCACACCTAATTAGAAGCTCCTGTATCCCCTGTGGCAGTTTGGCAAGAGCAGTGAATTTGCTCCAGAAATATGACTTGTCTTTTGCTGAGATAGAAGAGCTTTTGGGTCTAACAGCTCTTTCTGCCTTACTGTCTGCAAATGTGACTGTATCCCTGTTGTGAGTTGCATTAAAAGAAGTGTTAAGGCATTAATATCCTATTTTAGTGGCATTTTTCTCTCTGAGAAATCTACATTTTTGCTATGAAGAATGCTGGCAGAACTGGTGTGTAAATGTTGTCCTGCAGATTTCCTAGTTGAGCTAGTTGTTACAATCAAGGAACATGTTTTAAATAAAGTTAACCATGACATAATAAATATCTTCATAAAGATGTTGTGCTGCAGGCTTTTAGTAACAAGCTAGTCACTGATGTGAATGGACTCATTCTTCACTTATTCAAGGTAAAATCAGTATCTCAACATCCCTAGTAATTTCTACTGAAACATACTGAAAAAGCATATAGATAATGATTGATAATATAAAATTTCTTAAACCTGAAACTTTTGTCAAGAGTATTCCATGGCTATAAATATGTGTTGATGCTTTAGCTGGGAAAATCTTACATTTTAACAATAAAAATGAAAATACTAAAAGGAATTACCTGACTTCTACTTGAAAAAGGGATATCTGTATCAGATAAAAGTTATAGTCAACATAAAAAAAGGTCCGATTTTCATTACTTTAAGCAAATGCCCTGAAAGGATTACACATTTCCAGCAAAACCTCCACTTACCAGATCCAGTGCTGCTCACTTGACTTAGTTCTTCATCATCTTCATCATCACTATCACAGTTTAATGGCTGAAAAGCTGTTTCTGACTCTGTGTCTCCTTGATGAGCATCTGGCTTTTGCTCAGCAAAGCTTCGCAAGGCCACAAGGCGATGATGTATTGCTGCATAAAGGTGTTCAGTGTCTTTTGAGCTTGCCTGCAGAACATCAAATGTATACAGTGCAAAACAACTGAGAAAAATCTCTATTTTAAAACATTCATTTAAAAGTATTGAAAGAGTTGTACTTTGTCCTTTCTAATCAAAACAATCAGCTGAAGATCCACACTTAATAATTAACATCCAAATATTAAATACAAATAATGTGAAGTTCTTTTATGTGGTCTGAGCTTTATATGCAGCTGTTGATTATTTTCTCTATAGTTACAAGAAACATAAGCTTAAAATTACTTTCCCTGGAGAACAGATCAGTTTTTATGGAGTATTTGATATCTGGATGATTCTTGGGCTTGGTTCTAGAAGTAGGAAAGCTCTGACATACAGTCTCCAGGTGGATACTGTAGGGATGGATAACAAGCCTCTTCAATGTCTGTAGAAGCAGGTTCCTGCAACCCGTGCCACACCCATACAGCTCTCATTTATTGTGACTTCCTCATAGATGTCTATTTTTACTGCCCAGTAGTGTCAATACAAATTTACGGAATGCAAGTTTCTCTATGAAAACAGTGCAGTACTGTTTCACTCTCTATGAAAACAGTGCAGTGCACCTGGAAATCAGGACATTTGTAATTCTCACATGCAGACCAGCAGTCCAGCACAGCCATAGTCAATGTTAAGTCTTAAGTCAATCCCTGTTAAGAAGTGACAGATTTACAGTACTTGCATATACACTGCATGGTGCTTTGCTTGTGTATGATATGTGACACTTCCTGGAAATGATGATTTATTTGTCTTTCCCAGCAAGCTGAATCCTTCCTAGAAAGATCTGCTGGGGAAACCATAAACATCCTTAGACTCATGTGGAAGTTCTCACTTTCCAACTAGGGACATATGGGCTATCTATTTGCAAATAAGTCCAGCACATTTCCTTCTCCAATTTAGCCCTTGCTGGATAAAATCAGGGTTCCCAGGACATCCTTGGGTCTTACACAAGGTGATATTGGAACTCTGTATTCTTCTCAACTGAGAAATGGAGGTCCTGCCCTGGTTGGATTTATTGCAAGTGCTATGTTGAGAACTATGGCAGAAAGCTGCTGCCTTTTACCAGAGTAATTTACAAAATGTTAACTACTTGTGAAGAAATTGTAAGTGTATTGCTTTCATTAAAGAAGAGCCATTTCTGCACATTATTGGAACGATATCCATTCCATTGGTGGTAGGTGAACCAGAATCTGGAAACGTCTGTCTTAAGGCCAGATCATATCATCACACCTGTTTTTTGATTCTAATGCATTCCATAATGAAAGTCATGTAACATCTAAGCTGAGCACTGTTTGATAGAGCATGAAGGCCATTTGCTAAAACCAACCTTCAACAGCCCTTCAGAATTCTACATGAAGTGGGGTTTTGGGTGCAGCTGTTGTCTCCTACTCACCTGAGTTAGAAATACTTGAACAGAATGGTCCTCTTGATCTGTGGCAGTGAAGCACAGGCTCTTTCTGTTTGCTCTTTTTATAACCATTTGTTCCCAGAGTTGGGTGTTGAGAATCAATCTCAAGCTACCTTGATTTCGCATAACTAAAATAAGAAGGTTAATATGATAAGATACGCTGCAGCTGTTTTTTCCAGCACTTGTATACAACTAATATTTTCAAAAATTATTCCTTATGATTTGGTATAAAATCCTGATATAGTGAGATTTTTACTTTTTTAGTATCCAAATATAGTAGTTTGTTTCAATATGTCTGGCACACAAAGGAAGTAATCTGCTGAAACTGTGCAATACAGTACAAAACAGTGACAGCACATTAAAAAAAACATTCCAGAAGAGTCTTGAAACAGTGCTGCTGAAAAAGCAGAACCAACAAAGAGCAAACTGTTAGCCTGGTGACTGGGCTGAAGACACAGTACATCAGAGAAGTACACAGAGAAGTACCTCAGAGAACCTAACAATGTATGTGAGCCCAGTTCCTCAGTCTGGAACACACAGAACTTTATCACGTAAAAAGATTCTTAGCAACTTGACTTAAATACAACAATCTTCTCAGATTGAAATGTTCTGAAACAAACTCTCGCCAACAATAATACAAGTTATTTGATGTTTTCTGTACGGGATATTTCTTTATTTCACTCGTACTTAGCCTTGACTGTAACATTCCATGCTTATTGCTAGAAGTGTCATTAAGCCTCAGGGATCCTCTGCCTCTTTCAGTCCAGCTTAAAGAAAGCTTATTAAACACAAAAAGCTTGCAGTTAATCTGAAAGAGAAATACATAATGAAAACTGCCAGCTAACGCTAGTTTTATTGGCTCTAAAATAACAACTTTACATTTACAACTTTATGGTTGTAAAACTTTTGATATGGCTTTTAATACATCCATGTATTACACGGCATGTGCAGAAAGGTACACAGATATATCCATACATAGATATATAGATGTATCACCTTTATTACTTAAAATGAAAGGGCTCTTAGATCTGTGATCTCTTTTCTCACCATAGAAAACATTCAACATGAGTCCCAGTTTACTTTTTCAATTGTTTCATCTTTATTAACTCTTTGTCTGTTGAGAAAGTTGCTGAGGCCCTTCAGTTTTGCTGCTGCTGTGTTTTTAAGAGTAGCAGCAGTCTCTGATATCCACCAGCAAAGCTAAATTTGCTGCAAAAGTTGTACAACCTTAATTCCTCACTCTTCACAAATGTTATGCAACAGGATACCAGTACTGCTAGAAGAGTACTGCTCCAAAGATAGTAAAACTTTTGTGTTCTGCTAAGACAGAAAAATTAATCAAAAATAAAATAATGTCAAGATTTTTTAAATCATAATTGCTATTTTCTGAGAAAATAATATTTTGAAACCAAAGAATAACAAGATACGCTCAGCCAGGTTGGAAAGATAATTGCTATTTTAGCTGAACTATAAAACAAATTACTTTTACAACACATTGCTTTTTTTTCCCCAAAAATTTTTTTCATAAACCCCATCTTTACTCAAATCACTTCCAGCTCTAAGGTTGTGATTACAGCTAGTATACGATGTAGATGCTTATAAAATACCACTGAAATAGGCACTTACTAAAAGAGACTACAAAATAAACAAATATAGTATGAAAAAGAACATACCAACTTACAGAAAAATGGGTTAACTGAGGCATAGCTTAAAAAAGGCAAAAATTTAAAATATAAATTGAAGTTACTTTCAGATTGCTGCATCTGCAGTTGATCTAGATATTCTTTTCAACAGCTAAACTACTCATCAAGGTTTTATGAAATACACACCTGCAATACATTTTGTTCTGCTTCTTCTCCAGTTATAACTTCAACTTTATCTAACAGGATTTTCTCCACTGGCTTGGAAACACAAGCAGCTGCTGATTCAATTAGTGTTGCATTCTTCAACAAAGGTCTTTCTGTAGGAAAAAAAAAAAAGAAATTCTTTCTGTACAGGGAGTATTTTGGGAATAGTTTTAGGATAACAAAACTAGTACAGGTCACACAGGAAGTGACCTCAGTAATACCTCTGGTATCTCACATTGTTTAGTGTTATTAATAAGTTTTTGGCCAAAGGAACAAACATTAGAGGAAAAGGCAGGAATACAAAATACCTCACTAAAAAGGCTTTTACAGAATTGAACAGGGCTGTTTATAGTTGCAGAGGTCTGTCCCCAGGGAGAAACAGGAACAATCAGAAACAAGGCCTAAATATTTAGAAGCTGATTTTCCAAATTAAACTCATCTGATATATTGTTATACCAAGTATACCTATCCCAATACTCAGAATAATAATACATTTATAATGAATATTTAACAGGAACAGAGAAGGACAATATTTGAAAGGAACAACATTATTACAAAGCTCTGTATCTTCGCATAATCTATACATATGTTCTGAGGGGTTTATATTTAGAATTTTTTACTTATAAGAATGCTTACACAAATAATAGGGTCTAATACATCTGTTAGTAAAGAGGAGGGCAGAATTTATCAAGAAGGCTCACAACAGGGGCCTGCTGGGGACTCCCTCACAGCCTAGGTTTACATGGCTTGCTTAGTAGAAATCTCACACCAGAGTCACAAAGAAACCCTGAAATATGTCTATTTTGAACTTTCAGTCCCACAATTATAATCTAAAATAACAAAGTAATTGATATGAGAATTTGAAAAATGCAAGCAGCAGACAGCCTAAAATTTTAATTCAGCGATGTCCACAAGGCATTCATAAAGGTCACTGCATTTTTCTTCAGACAATAAATAATAATCTGTAATAAATAATAATAGTTTGTAACATTTTCTCGAGTTAGTCCAGTTCACATGTCATAAAACAAACTCTGCCTGCTTTCTGAAAATAGATTTTGGCATACTCATGACTGGATATCTTGAGAATAGTATTGACCACCACTTATGTGACATCCTCTAAAATACAGTGAGATATAACAATAAAGCCAACTGTGCTTGTTTGCTGAGTATGCTTACTTGTTTGTGGCCTGACATGAGAAGATCCTGTGGACATGGACGTTATTTCTCCTTTGTGTAAATCAGCTTCATTGCACAGCTTGGGATGCTTCTCAGGACTCTAGAAAAACACAGGGGAAATAAGAACTCCTATTTTAAAAAATGGCTATGATAATTTATATCAAGTAGAATATTGAATAATGATAGTATGTTAGGCTGAAGGCAACCAATTTTAATAGCTTCAGAGTAAAAGTAGCCCACATGATACAATTTCAGTCTCTAGAGGAAGTAATATTACTATCATAGAATCAGTACATCTTTCTTCCTTCGAGAAGAATGACATCTTCGTGTGGATCCTGGACTAGTATTTAAATCCAATGAATAATTTAGGTGTTAAGGTACTGGTTTATTTCTAGTTCAAGCCCATAAGTTCCCAGAAGAGTAGTAGAGAATGCCCAGACACCACAAACTTAACCTCAGGAGACTTAAAAATTTCTATCACCTTCAGTTTTGCAGTTAAATTTTCTTAGTCATGTCTACATAAATGCTTGTGGCTCCTGACAATGCTCAGTGTCTCAACTCATACCTTATAAAAGAATCTTGGCCAGAAGACATCCCAAACCTATGGTTGCCAAGCTTTTTACCTGGCAGATAAGCATACAGTTTTCATCCTACTTCAACTGAAAACTGAATTTCAAATCTCAGCTTCAGAACCACTTTTTTGTCCTAGAGTCCTTCAGGGCATAAGCTGCCTCACAAGCATGCACAATATGCTTTAACACGGATACTCTCTAAGGTGTCAAAGTTTTCCTTCATACTTATTTATCACAGAATCACAGGATGGTTTAGGTTGAAAGGGGCCTTAAAAATCATCTGGTTCCAGCTTCTCTGCCATGGGAAGGAACACCTTTAATTAGACCAGGTTGCTCAGAGCCCTATCCAGCTCGGCCTTGGATGGTCATCCTGGATGACCTCCAGGGATGGGGCCTCCACAGCATTTCTAGGCATATGTTTTACAGTGGTCTCACCTCCTCAAAGAGAATAATTTCTTCCTAATAGCAAACCCAAACCTACTGTCCTTCAGTTTGAAGCTGTTTCCCCTTGTCCTGTCACTCCTGTGAACAGTCTCTTCAGCTTTCTTGTCGGCTTCCTTTCAGGAAGGGAACCCATCCAACCTCTTACAGTTACTATGGAAGTTATTTGAGCAGCAGGAACCACCACATTGTTTTATCTTATGTTGAGGGTGTTCCACTTTACATGGAAGAGATAAAAACCTCTTTTTCAAGTAAAAATCCAGGAGTGCATATTGGTAGGCATTAGTAATTAAAGAACCTGCCTAGGGTGGTGAAGATAGGAATGCCTACTCCTCCAGCAGCACATCCTTAGATATTTTCTCCTCAAGAGACATTGGAACCATAATTACTCACATCTTTAAAAGAAGGATGACCTAAAAAGAACCAATATCTGAAAAAGTAATCACACTCTTAAGTACACTAACCTTGATAAAAGGTCTTCCAACATGTGCAGATCCAACCAAAACTCTTTCAACCATGTTTTCCCCAAACACAAAATCTGAATTGCTGCTGTTTTGTACACTTCTTTCTTTAAGCAACTGACTTCTGTGGGGACAAAATAACAGAAGAATGTGATTCACCACATTTAAAGCGCTGTAAAGATTCACCACACCTAACATTAAAGAAAAACTTTAAAGAGTAATCACCTAAGTAATCAGATAAATTCTTTAAGAGAATTTGAGAATATTCTCTATGGAAAATTCCACAAAAGGAACAGAGTATCACAGTGAATTTCATTAAGATTATTGAGGCCATTCCTTAGGACGAAAGAACAAGCAGCAAAACAGCATACCACTTCTCCGCATGGAAGTGTCTTACTCCAGAAATTTTAATGAGTTGCTTTAGTTTCCTTTTGCTCCTCCAAAGGACTACCAACAATTAACACCTGTCCTTTCAAGTTCTCCACTACTGTGCAGAATAATGTACACTTTGGTGCCTTATAGGCATTCCTTCATCATCCTCATGTTTTGGAAGTGCAGGAAGGCAATGTATTCACATACACACACAAATACTGAAAAAATGTACAGATTTGATAGCAGAATGCTTAAGATGAGGTGTGAGTAAAACAGGAGGGAAAAGTGTTCCGATTTTTCAATTACCTGTTCCAGAGATATATGTAAGATGAGAAGCAAACTCAATACTTGCAATCCTTTGGTACTGGCCAGCTATATTTTAGAGATTACATTCAAGAGTATTCTATACAAGTAGAATTGTGATTGGACTTGCTAATTACATAGCAAATTTAAATTAACAGGGTTCTTTTTTTGCAAAAGTCACTAGAAAAATCCTTGTAAACTCCTTTATGTGGAAGTTGTTCCTGCTGCTGGTTTGGTTTTGGTTTTGATTTGTTTGGTTTTGTTCTTTTTATGAAAGGGTTGTACATTGTTTGTGCTTTCTGTAGAGCTTAATCCTGCACGTCTTACTGGCATAGGCAAAACCATGCAAGTTATTTTCACTTTCTGTTCCAGAAGGATGACTTGGCATAAAGGCAGCCTGATACTGTGTCACAAGTGGTGCATTCTTCAGCACCACTCACTTCTGTTTCACAGTATTTATCACCCTCGGGAGGGCTTAACATAACATATGTCATGTACAGGATATTCCTGTTAATTAGCTGGGTTTGTTGGCAGAACTTTGATGATTTCCTCTAAAATAGTTTCTCTGTTCACAACTACAGTGCACTTAAAACCTCTTCAAGGATGAAGGGCTTACCGAGTACTACCTCTCTCCATCTTTTTTAATGAATAAAATACTCCTTAGCATTCTTATGCTTGATGTGTTTCTAAGACAACACATTTGCTAGAAGCAAAACAGAGAAATCAGTAAATACTTGTTTTTTCAGCCTTTAAAGCTTCTATGCATGTTCTGGGCCATGAACAGGAAATCTGAAGTGTGTTAATGAGTTTTTTATTCTTAAACACATTCCTCACTAAAATTCACTGGAATGTGACCAATTTCCATACTGATTCCATTTCAAATGCTACTTCTAGGCTGTTCCAATAGCAGCTTAAGGACAGCACCGCAAAAGAGCTAAAAAAACCCAAGAATTAGAGGCTTATTTCTAAGAAAAAATGTAGGAAATTGTTTTGATTATATTCAGAAATGTAAGAAAAATTAATCAATGCAATCAGTTCTCTTTTAAGAGAAAGTTAACTGGAAGTGCCAGCCTTAAAATGTTATTAAAACCTCAATAGCCTTATGTTGCTGTATGGCAAGAACAAAGTGTTCTTGCCAGGGATGCATTGTCAGGGATGCAAAGTGTTCTTGCCCCAGGGATGGCATTTGTCATCGAGATACAAAACACAGTCCCTGATATCAGGGAATGATCACTAACAATGAACAATTGGAGGAGAAATATGGATCGAGTACTCAGATGGGATTATGAGGGGAATGATTCAGGTACTGGCCTTCTCAGAGTGTCCAAAAAGGAACTGAGTAGCTGCCAGTTCCAGTGCTGGCCTCAAACCCTTTCAGTTATATAAGCAAATCCTTGTGCAAAGTTGAGTTGCTGTGAGTGCAAGCCTGTATTTTCCCACTGTTGTATTTCTGTCACTTGTGACACAAGTTTTCCAAGCTTTTCATCAGAATCGACAAACTGGAATTTTTTCCTTTGCAGTTTATTGTTATAGTCAGCCCAGGAAATGAAAATTAGTGGTTTCATGGAACATGGACAGCTGCAGCAACTGCAGGGGGATAACAAGGTATTTTCACTCACTTCTCCACAGAATCATATAACGGATAGATGAAGATGTGGAAGAGGAGCAAAAGTGAGAGAGAGCAAAGCAATCTCTGCATTTTATTTTATAAATAAATGTCAACAGTTATGCCTTGGTTGGAAATTAAAAGCAAACCTAAAAAGTTGTTTTCTTAGCAATGAGGTCTGGCTGCAATGTTCACTTACTGTTCAGCATGTATACAGAGTTTAATAAAGTAATTTGCTTCTTATTGATGAGAAAACAGCAATGCCAGAAAGATTTTACCTAAGTATTTTACAGCATCAGTCACTTAATATGGATGAGAAGAATGGCACTTACATCCTTCTGCAATCTCAGAATAGCAGTAGGCACCTGGTAGTATTTAAATTAGTTTTCAACTGTCAAAGGAACCAACATTTACCATGATTATGATAGAACTACTCTGTTGTGATATTCTAGAATTCATGAGGCCCAAACACCCCAAGCATGGTGTTTGTGAAAAAAAAAAAAAAAAAGACAAGAGAAAGAAATATCACAAGTACCTTTAAGTTAACTTGTTGGCACTGAATCACTGTGTTGCATTTCTCTACTTCACAGGAGAAAGTCACTCACCAATCTTTTCCTAGATACTATGCAGCTGACAGAAGGTAAATAAATTTAAATTTAAAGTACCAACAGCAGCTGATTTAGCTTTTCTTACATGCATTACCATCATTCAGATTCTCCTAAAAACCCAGTGTGCTCTGTGGCTGCATGTTGTCCCCAGAGGGCATCACAACAGCATTAAATGTAATAGAAAAGGTTAGTTCTTCCAAAATCACAGCAAGCGTCTGCCCTCTAATGATTCTAATGGTTCTTTTTTTTGATAGGAATTAAGAATCTATGTTGTTCGTGCATCTAAACTCCCTTGCCTCCTCAGAACCCTGGCACTGTGCATCACAACCTTTATCTGTGGTCCATCTAGCCCTGGCACAGACTCCTTTGCAATTTACATATTCTATGCCCTCCTTGGGTAGGAGAGGGAATTAGGTAGCATTAGAAATCTATTATCTGTGGCCCTAGCAATTTTGAAAAGTCATTCTCTCATCAAAAGTGATACCAGGTGTATTCCTGATGCTCACAATTTCCAGGTTAAAAACCCTCATCAAGATCAGCAAGCAGTATTAATACATGAGACAACCAGAGACCTAGAGTTCTCATGAGTCAGTCCCCAGAGAGAGGTAATAGCCCACTTTTGCACAAGTATGGCTTCTTCTCAGTGCTGGCCTTGAACCCTTTCTGTTTCCCAAGCAAAACCTTGTGCAAAGCTGAACACATGACCAGAAGCCAGTGTTTTCCCAGCACTGTATTTCTGTCACATATGACACAAGTTTTCCAAGATTTTAGTTAGAATCAGATTAATCTCCAAGAATGGGGCTCTTTCCATCACATACAGTGTCAAGAGGATGGGGAAGCATCCTACTCCACGGACATCAGCCTCCTCACAGAAATTCTGAAGTCTGTGCTGCACAAAAATGCCAGCCTATCACAGTCACCACAGACAGCTTCTCGTGCCAGAAGTTCTGCTTTGTGAATGAAAGTAGAGCATCAATTGCAGCATTCACCTGGTATTCCAAATCAACTCTGTATTTTTTTCTTTATGCTTCTTGTGTCCAATATGCTGAAATATATTGGTTATTGCTCAAAAGAATGACATTTGGCATATGAAGCTCATGTGAATGGACACAAATCCTGGCACTGCACACAAACAGCAGAGAGCCTGTGTGGGTGCAGATTGCATGGGCTTAGTACCATGTTAGGCATGGATGATGAAAGGGCATGCCACCAGCCAAGTGACAAGATGATGCAGAAATATAATAAACAAAAACTTACTGTGTTTTTTGAGAGCTGGAAAGACTCATGGTAATAGATGACCCAATTGCTGTTTTGGAATTTACTGAATTCTCAGTGGATGAATAAGAGCTGTCTTCAGATAGCTAGGAATAATAAAATCAAATTGATTAATTACAGCTAGTATATTTTCTGCTATTAACAGATCTGCTAGAATCCAGAGTCACTAAGGTATAAAGATACACAGACACATAAAGATATGGATAATAGATGTTGTAGTTGGCAGAGCTTCCTCCAGCTGGGTACTAAACCAGAGCCCTCAATTAAAATACTAAAATCTCACTTTCTAAATAAACAAAATCCAAAACACCCAAAGCTGATTTTCTGACAGAACCCTCATATCAGAAAGGTAAGACAGTCTGCAGAGAAGAGATAATTTTTCAAACACAGTCAGCATGAGTTTAACATTTCATATCATGTTAATGATACAGTAATTCCACTGAAACTTAAATGGGAACTTTCTTGAAAATAATGCATTCTTTAATGCATGATTAATTAATTGCATAATTAAGTAATTAAGTAATTGCTTTAAAACAGCACTGGTTTGTTTGGTGTTTGGTTTTGATTGTTTTGAGTGTTTCTGTTTGTTTGGTTTTTTTCCTTAATTGGAGTTCCAGTAAAATTATTTTTCTTTTTACCTGAACACATGCTTCTTTCTTAGTCATTAGAGATACTACAGGAATTTCAGGACAGGTCAGGACTTGTGGGGGCTGTAAAGTGGCAGGTCTAATGACATTCCACAATTGACTTGGTGACAAGGATCCTTGCAAAATACAAAGACAAAATATTTAAACATACACTTTTTCTTCACATCTAATTCATACCTTTATGTCTTGCCTCTTAACTGAAACTTTCAAAACATTTACAAATAATATTTACTGTTTGCTTCATTTTGTGAAAAATTGTAATGGTTTCTAAAATACACAACTCTGAAGTGAAAACAATGTGTTATCCTATCAGGATAAAAAAGTAATGTTATGTACATAAACATTTTATTTGTAATTACAAAATATATTTGTATTTATATATTTAAGTATATCTTTGTACTTATATTTATTGCTTTGTTTTAGGTATGTCTTCTGGCATTTCAGATTTAATTCTCAGCCTCAGATGCCAAAAGTTTCTTCACTGCCTTCTCCAGAAGCAGAGGTAAAATGTGAAATGTGAAATTTCACTATGGAAGGTTACATTCAGTCCACTCAGGAAATAAGTAGTCAGAGCAGATGGTGAGACCAGAGTTCATAGGACATTTACACTGTCAAACAATAAGTTATGAACTGCATAAAGATACCTAGCTATCATTCAGTATGGAAAAGAGCTGTTCTTTTTTTGTATTCATATTTTTGTGGAGCTACAGTGAAAAAACATTTCAATGACAGTTACCTTCTCTTGGACTTTTGATGATGTCAGGATTTCTTTGAAGAAGAGCTGAGGTCATGAATATGTTATTCTTCTTTACTACAGAAAAGGAATTTACAATGAAATAATGAGTACATCCAAATTTTAACCATTAATTAATATTTCTGTATCCACTCCCTCTTTTGGTAGTACCTTAGCAATATTCCAGCATATTCATCTGGAAAAGATTGCCAAAATAAGTGTTACTGTCTTAGTTTTTACAGGTGAGCAGACTTGGGCACAAGAAAACACCAGATGTTTCTTGGCTATGTCATAGTCTTTTGGAAGTTAATGAATGTTTTTAATGGAAAATCTTTCTTCATCTTTTAAAACTGGTGTTCCTGTTTTGTAGAAACATTGAATGCTATCTGGTCAAGTTCTGGGCATTTTTAAGACGATTAAGTGAGGCCCAAATACATAGAAATAAATAAATAGCAAATAAATGTACCCCGCCCTGCTCTGCGAGAAGAGTTAGTAGAACAATGGCAGTGCACTATTGACGCTTTCACCGTTTTAATAAAGATATCAAACACCAGTGAGAAGGTGATGGCAACCATGCTGTAAAAGCCTAGGAGGTAAGGGGGATAATTTTTATGTCACTGATATCCAAATAGCTGTTGGGCCAACCAAGGACTTCTGGTAGCAACCCACTGTGAGAAAGTGCAGGATGTGGCTGCAGAGGGTACCTACACAGGTAGGGCAGCACTTTTCCAGGACAACCATAAGCACAACACAGCACAGCACAGCAGGAATGAGGCCAAGATGTGGGCATGGGCTGTAGGGCCCTCCAGACCACCCCAAGGCTTCTGACCCATTTCCAGAAAGAATGAACTGCACATGAGAACTGATTGCATAAAAAAAGAGAAACTCATCTCCAGGGCGGGGAAACCATTCTACATAAAGGTACCCTGTGAAGCCCAGGTGTGTGCCCCAGGATCCTGGACATGCCTTCAGCCAGACCAGTGCTGATACTGGAACCAGGACTGATAATCTCTCTTTCTCTCTTTCTTGCTTTCTCTCTTCTCCTCTTTAATCCTCTTTAAATCTCTCTCTTCCCTTTCACCCTAACCCTTCATCCAAAACCCATCATGTGGTTACAATAAGAGATCATGACTTATACCAGTTTTCATGCTTAGTGTGTAATTTACCAGTAAAACTTTTTAAGCTTTTGCAGAACCTCTGACTTATGTCATTCCTTTCCCCTGTGAACACCCCAGATTTGTAAATCTTGGGTGCTGCCTTACCCTTAAGGGTGCGATGCCACACATGTACCATGTCGTGTAGAATGGCACAACTGATACAATACATACAATCACCACTTTTTCATTGCAAAAGTGTGTTTTGCTGCTCGTAAAATGCTGGGGACTCTTAACATTGTTTAGAAATCCTCTATGCCAGTGTCTGTCAAGAACCTGTCTCTGGTAACAGACATAGGCTAGGATTTGAGACCACTCCATCTTTCCTGTTAGTGCTAAGAGAGGGAGGATATTCCCTGGATCCCTGGTTAGGTGGAAGACAGGCTCCTAGGACAGAAAGTTATATTCCTGTAGAAGCCATCACCACTGTATTGCAAGCAAACTATTAATGTAATCACCATAATTTCATTTTGGTTTTTTAAGTATTATTTGTATCACATTCTTTAAATGCAAGCTTTTAAATTATTCAAAGATTCCACCCCTGCCCCAGAGGATTCCCCAACTATGAAAAAGAAACTTATCTTCTATTGAAATACCTGTCCTCCTTATAAAACAATCATTTCTGCCATCTAAATATCAGATTAGTCCAACACACTTCAGCTTTTCTTGCAGGAAAAGCATTTCCGCACACATCTTTATTTTGCCTAATACTTGCTTTTGTACATAAATATTTATTTTTATTTACCTGCCTGGGAGGGAGGGAAAGTAGGAAGGATGTTACATGAAGATGATCTCCCTCTTTGCTGTGTGAGAGCTGTATCTAAAAGAATAGGAGAATAAATTATCACTTGTTTGGAGAATAAAAAAGACAAGTTTTAGGGTTAGCCAGGCTGATTTCATGCTTTCATTGACAGTAGAATAAATTGTTGTCTGCTACCCACCATCTTTCTGAAGCAGATTGTTAGGTTATGTCTATGCTGCTGACCCCAGGATGTCTCTGAGGCCCAGGAGCACAGCCTGGCTCAGGCACACAGCTAACCCTCTCTGCATCAGCTCCTGGAGACTGCCAGGTTCAAAACAGAACCAGACAGTGACCTATCCCTTAAACAGTCTGGGCAGTCAAGAGGGAAAACACTCCAGCTTCCTCCTGCACCCTGCTTTTTTTTTTTGGAATAGGCATGCCCTAAAATTTCTCACATATCTATTCCAGTTTAACTTTCAGAGTAAACCAAACTTAGCTTAAGTCCTGTTGGGTACATTTAGATGTGATTAAAAAAACCCCACACTGTACATATATTAATGCCTGAATTCAGAAGTACTTTTTGGTACCATCCATATGTTAAATCCAGATTGTGTAAAACAGATGAGTCCTTCTGCACAGTAGCCTCAGGGACTGGTGTTCATTTTCATGGAAACAATGCACAGTCCTTAATGAGCCGTCCCAGTCAGCTCAGGGCTGGATGGCAGGAGGGCCCTTCTGGAAACTGTCACATCTTAAAGGATTGCCTACGGAACAGTGATCTCTTCCAGAAGCCAGGGATATAATTCCTTTCCTGACCTCTCCTCCCTTAACTGTGTGAGCAATTCAGAAAAATTATCTTAAATTTATGGATTTTTCACTACTTTATGTAATATTATGTAAGTATGGAAAAAATAATGTATTTTAAATTAAAAACATGTTCATTGGAAACTACCAGCAAGTATCAATGTTTAAGTTTTCATGACCTGCAGCATGCTTACAATGAAGAAACACGTCTTAGGTGGGAGAATTAATTCTTTTCACTGCCAGATGAGAATACAGAACTCCAATCAAAACATGACTGGAGGTAAATGTCATACCAGTGTTAGACTGAGAGTCAGACTTCTGGAAAGTCAAAGATGATGATCTTGCACGTTTTCTGGAACAACTAATGAAATCTAGAGAAAAGAAAATATAATGTAATTGGCAGGAGGCATCAGAACAATGTTGTAATACTGAATTAAAACCTGAACAAAATAAACTCTAGGAGGGACTTAGAGAACAGCTTTAAGGCAGTACCTAAGAGCAGGAGGGCTGTGGAATCTAAGTTAACACCTGTCACAAAGGCCTGGGGAATCTTTATTTCTGTTAAGTTCAGGGAACCCAAAGCAAGCACTTTGAATCAGTTCATAGCCCATGGGCTCAGAAAACATTAAGAATGAGGAGCTACGTTATAACATTACCCAAGCAAACAGAAAAAGACAGTTAGGACTTCATACAGATGAATACACTTGGTCAATTTTCAGGGCTTCTGGAGCTTGTCTTTCTGGTAAATACGAGAGGTAAGATGGAAGAACTTGAGGGAAGACAGGGACATGTATATTAGGACAGAGTAGGTGGCTCTACAACCCACAAAATCTTAGTCCGGTAACTGGTATTTGCCCCTGCTCCTAGAAAGAGTCCAAACACTGTTTTCACAGAAAATAGGCAGACCTATGAATCACTCGTTTATATTATGCTGTTTCAGTGAGGTGGTGATTACCATTTTCAGCTTGGCAAACTGGGTCTTCTGCAGGCCGCTGGAAAAACAATAAGCATGGAAAGGTCAGTGAAATAGAACAATCATTTTCTAGACAGAGACATGAAGTATAACAGTCCAGCATATATGCATTAAGTCTTGTTTCTGTTTTCTATTCTTCCTTGTTCTATTTTCAGACCATTTATTACAATTGTTAAGCAGGACTAAAATCTTATCCTGCTGCCAGGGTAATTGTCTACAGAATCCCTATTTCTCACCAATTTTTATCAATAATGAAAAAGGGGAAAAAAGGCTTTTTACCTTCAAAGAACGATCCTTCTTCTCAAAAACAAATGTTGGCTGGGCAAGCACTGATTTCTCTGGAAAAGAGAAGAGATAGTTTTCAATAACAATTCCATAATAGTATTTAAAAATTAGAGCTTTGAAAATGCTGTGCGATAACAAACAGGACTTTATCCTTTTGTTACAAAGGAAGAAACTAAAAAGATGCAGTAATGTACAGTATAGTACATTAAGAAAAGCAAAGCTAAAATCCCCAAATCTGAGTATGAGTTTTGCCTAACTACATGGCATGGGATTTGGCCTCATATTTTTAGTATTTATCTTTTTCAAAAAAAAAAAAAAGTGCTTTAACCTTTAAAGAAACATCTGCCATCCTTTAAGAACAAGGGTGAACGGCATCTTTGCGTAGCAGAAAAGAGCAAGGATGTGAAATGTACACTATCCTAAAGGAAGGAAAACAAGAGAATGTATTACACTTTCAGCTACATTCATACATTTTGCTCTTTAAGCTTCAGGAAGGTGGATGTCTAGGGTTAGTTTTCATGAGTGTGTATGCTAAATAAACATATGGAATTCTATAGAGCTAATTTTAGTCTCAGCATACCTCTGCATCTCTTAGACATAACTAAAAATATCTTGGATCTATGCTCTTTTTTTTCTATGAAATATTTTTCTGCTTACATTTGCCTCACATCACAGTTTATGTTGATTTAGGGTTCACTACTTCTACATCTCATACAACTTCTTCAGGCTGTTTACTTTGTTAGGCTTGTGGCCTTCACAGCCAGTGCAACTCTAATGGACTAAATTTGGTTGTCAGTGTAAAAGAAAAAGCTGTTTTCACCAGCACTACTGATTAATGACACATTTATTATATGAATTAATGACACATTTATCATATGAATTAAGGGCACAATTAATGGGCAAAAAAGCAGGCACAAACAGATCTTTTTTTTAAAGACCACTCCATACAGGACTCATCTCATTCTAGCTTGATACATCTGACATGTGCAGTAAATGGAAACAATCAGCTTCTGGCTATGAGCATATTTTAGCTGTGTGCTTTCGATGACAAATGGAAAGCTAAATGCATGTATTTCTCTCCATGGCTGATAAGTACAGAGTTCAGACTAGGGTGACTGCTGAGCTATTTCACTGGCCTCTGGCCAGAGAAATCTCACACTTGGTGCCTTGTTAGCTGACATTTGACAGAATATTTACTACATACACAACATTTTTGTAAAACTCTTTTCCTCTGTTACCTCTTTAACAAAAACATCCAAGTGAAAATATGTAGATAGGTATTTTTATCTAGAATTACACACCTATCTGTGACCAAACAACTGGAGCTTTAGTATCAATTACTCAAAGGTTTAATAATGCAAACATCAACCTATCATGGAAGAGTTAAAATTACTACACCAAAAATGTATTCAACTATCAAGAAAAAAGTAAACATTGTTAAAATAAATGCCCCTGTATGCAAACAGGGGCAAGGAGCATGAAACTTTCACTCAAACCCAGGGATATACAGACAGAGGAAGAACTACTACAGTTTTGCTGTTGTTAATTTTATTTTTACTTGGGCATTGTGTGTGTGTAAAGGACAGGATTTAACAAATTTAGCATGCTTCGCAATGAAAGCCTATTTCTTCCTTAACAGAAAAAGCAGAAAAAAGTTCACATTGTTCCACTGAAATAAAGATAACTCTCTGTCATTGAAAGTTGAAGAAAAATTCCATAATCTGGTTGCAGCTAGGGGGTCAATGACATGGCACAACACGAAGCAATTCCACTTCTATTCACTAGAGGGGAGTGGCACACATGAACAACAGTATTTCACTTAAATATTATTTTTTTGAAGAGAATAGGCTTTTTTCTGTCCCCTTAAAAACAAACAAAAAGCCCAAAACTGGCATTCTTATTGAATTAAGGAAAAATATGAAAAGTAAAGAGTAACTGCAGAAACCTTCATACTCTTCTCAGTAATCCTCAAGCTCAGAAGCTTGCACTATTTTTAAAGATACATTTTCTACTCCGAAGAACGGAATTAGAAAAGAGTGAACTGCTGTGAAGAAGCAATTGACTTTCTCTGACAGAGTTAACTTTTCCTAGACCTAAAAGGCTGTAGGGGATTTGAAGGAATTAAGAAAGCCCGCTACATTTGAAATAATGAGAAGATTACAATAATATTTTAAAACCCAAAAGAAGAAAAAAAACCCCATAACTGCTTAATTACCAACAGAAACACATGAAGCTACGGCATAATGGTACCTTTCAAAGATAAATATCCGTATTTTAATATTGCAGTAAATATAAAGAATATATCCCAGCTACTGCTCTTGAGCCAAAGAGCTGCCTGTAGATTAAGTAAGAGGTTGCTGAGGCTGCCACAGTTATTTATAGTTTGTACAGTTCTATAATGCTTCTACTCCAGTCAAGAAAACCTTTTTGTAATTACTGAAGCATACTCCACAAAGCTCATCAGTAAGATCTTCACCCCCCAATCAGGCTGTTCATAATAGAGTTTTAAAAATATATTTGTGTTAACTATATATGTATTCTAAGCATAAATTTCCATTTCCATTTTCAGCTTCTCAGATATTCAGGCACAACACATCTGCAGCTGATCTCCAGAGAAAAAGACACCCAGAACTTCTTGTGGATGTAACACAAGGCCATCAAGGAGTTACCACAGTTGTGTTGATGTGGTAATTTTAACACTGATCTGTCCCTCTGCATTTCTCCCCTTCATTCCCTGCTCTGAGTCTGCCTCTGGCAGGGTGGCTGTGCTGGCTGCAAGAGAAGCGCCAGACTCAGCCACAGGAACAGGCAGCAGCCCCCAAGGCCAGGCACAGGCAAATGCACACAGAGGAACAGGAATGGGTGGGCTGGAGCCATCCTCCCTCATCAGCACCACCAGGACACAGACAGACATGGGCTGGCTAGTGCCTGCTTCAGACCGGGCCGCTCCAGTCCTCGGTAGCTTGGCACTAGTGGATAAAAGAGGCTGTTGGAAAAGTTACCAGAAAATAATGCCAAATGAGCTGCCTCTGGCTGCAAGGACTGGAATAATCCACCAGCCTCAGCCAAGAGTCCAGACACAGAACCTGTCTGCACATGAATAATCACCACAGACTGGGCTCTCTCTCTTGCTACAGTTCCCCTGAAGCTGCTGAATCAGAAATCTGTTTGCTGTACTCAAAGACCAAAACAGGCCCTTGCCTGGAAGATGCATTAGAAACATTTCTTGGTCTGAGATTTCACCTGGATAGTGTCCCAGCTCCAGCCTCCTGTCTTGCACAGAAGCCCTATCAAATGTGCTCACACCTGAGCTACCTGACATGGAAGGTGCCCAGGTTGCAGGATGGAGACTGCATTCCATTTCAAAGAGCATTTTGGGAAAAAGTAAATGCTGGTTGATGCCTTAGGAGCACTAGCCAGAATAATATACAAGAAATAATGTAAAATCGCTTTCACCAGATTTGTTTGTATCCTAAAAGCCAGCATTGTCCATGAGATGTAAGAGTCTCTCTGTCTTTGCTGTGACATTCCACTCTCCACTTCCATTGCTATTGCCTGTTCCAAAGCTATTGAGACTTCACAAAATACATACATTAAAAAATAAGTGGGAAGCTGATGATTTTGAAAATTTTGTTCCATACTACCCTAAACACAGATAAATGATCCATAACCTTTGAGGGCTAAGTACACAGTGGAGAGAATATAAGCACCTATCTGTTTCTAATTTTCAGGCAGTACTACACCTGAAATTATGCCAAAAGCGGTGACAGTACTGTTTCTCTGTTCCTCTCAAAGAAATGCAAAACAATTCTCTCAAATCTTTCAGAAGGTAAGATAGGACTTGTGATCTCAATACAAGTTGTTTATTTCTGATGTTGAAACAGTTAAATTTTATGTTTCCAATTTTTAAAAATTAAATCTGTTGCATCTTCATCATTAACAAACTGACCAGAAGACTGAAAATTCTTTAATTCATACCCATAGCAAAAACTTACACATTTTTTAAAGTAAAGACTGACCAGTTGCTTGGCAAGACTGAGCCCAGCAGTGGCAGCATCTCTGGGATAATGAATTTAGAAGGGCAAAAAAGTACTGCAGAAGGAGAATTGCAGCTGTGAGAGGAGTGCGAATGTGAGAGAGGAACAGCTCTGCACACACCAAGGTCAGTGAAGGAATAAGAGAGAACGTGGATAGTGAGGCAGCTGTGCCCCTGCAGGCCCTGCAGGCCCAGGGGGGAGCAGAGATTCCCCTGCAGCCCCTGGAGGAGCCACAGCAGAGCAGCTGGGTGTGCCTGAAGGAGGCTGGGAGCCCATGGGAAGCCCGTGCTGGAGCCGGCTCCTGGCAGGAGCTGTGGCCTGTGCAGAGAGC